GCATAAAAGAAAAAGTTTCCTGCATCGAATTGTTATTGGCGATGAGAAGTGGATATATTTCGAGAATCCCAAACGCAAAAAATTGTGGCTTTCACCTGGCGAAGCATCAATATCGACGGCACGGCCAAATCGCTTCGGAAAGAAGACGATACTCTGCGTTTAGTGGGACCAGAAAGGAATCGTGTACTATGAGCTGCTGAAACCGGGCGAAACCGTCAACGGGCATCGCTACCGACAACAACTGATCAATTTGAACCATGCATTGCTCGAAAGACGGCCAGAATGGGACACGAGACACGAACGAGTGATATTGCAGCACAACAACGTTCCGTGCTATCGCATTTCCATCGTCCAGGACACCATCAAAACGCTGAAATGGGATCTGCTACCGCACCCGCCGTATTCGCCAGACCTGGCCCCTTCCGATTATCACTTGTTCCGGTCGATGGCGCATGGCTTGACTGGGCAACACTAAGCCAATTTCGAAGAAGTGCAAAATTGGTTGGATGAATGGTTTCGGTCCAAAGACACGTCGTTTTATCGTCGCGGTATTCATGTATTGCCAGAGAGATGGCAAAAATGTGTAGCTAGCGAGGGACGATACTTTCAATAAACCATTTTTTGTATTCCTTTTGAAATTTTCCATTCTTCATTGATCAAAAAAACCCGGAAACTTAGTTGCGCACCTAGTATGTGTGCATGTGTGTGTACACGCGCACAAATATACATATATTTGTCACTAATCCACACTCTCGCCTTTCAACAATATTATACAGTTGTCATAACGTGTATTTTATACATACAATATAAGTATACACGCGAGATAGAGATAACTCGATAGACTAATGAGAAAGTCAAGTAGATAGCCATAGTTATTTAACGATCAACAATCCGCTAGAAAAGAAATAGAAAACAAGAGGAGTAAAACTCACATATAAGATCATATAGAATATTTACAAGTGACAATCGTCTTTTCATTTTTGTTAATTTACGCACGTCCTCTTTGAAATTATCGGCAAACAAAAGGCAAATTACTCTATTATAATGAATATATACACATACATATATATGGGCCGTTCTCTGTCAAAAAGGCTACCCCCTACCCATTTCAATTTTTGAGATAAAATGCTCTAAAAGCGCTTAAAATTTTCGTTAAAGTGTCTATTTTTCGATGTCGTATGGTGTTTTTGAAAATTCAAAATGGCGAACTCAGAATCGCGATCAGAATGGAAAACATCATTAAAAGTACGATAACACTAGGCAATAAATTTTAAATATTGTCGACTACATGAGTGTGAATAATCATTTTCAATATATTTTTGCCTGCTGAGCACGAATTCGTTGTCCAAATTTGGCTATCACGTCACGATTTTGAGAAAAATGTCTTCAAAATTGAAAAACGGCATTTTTTATGCTTTTCGTAACGTAGCACGGCAGCAAATTTTTTTCTCGATTTCATTAATACCACGCAAAAGTACTAATTTTTAGCTCTGAAATGCCATATATTTCGTTTCGATGATTTTTCATTTCTGAGATAAAGCTAGAATTGGAAGCACCGGTTGCGCGCTGAACTGATTCTGTTTGATGATTATTCAGACGAACAAAGTATTAATCAAAAGGTATTCCAATGATACAAATGGATACACTATAGTGGTCATAGGGAAGAAAGTAAGAGATACAGATTTAAAATATTACATGAAATACCTACCCACCCGCCCACAGACACACAGACACGCACGCGTACGCACACATATACACACACGCACACACGCATGCACGTAAACCAATACACCCCGAATCGTGAGAGGCAAGGGGACTCACGTAAATCAAGCACTCCAAAGGGATGAAAGCCCCACCACATCCACGTCGTTCATCCTGGGTAATACTAAGGATGGGAAAATGCGTGTCAGTCCGTCTGGATAATCATCAAACAGAATCAGTCCAGCGCGCAACTGGTATTTCCAATTCTAGCTTTATCTCAGAAATGAAAAATCATCGAAACGAAATATATGGCATTTCAAAGCTAAAAATTAATACTTTTGCGTAGCATTAATGAAATCGAGAAAAAAATTTGCTGCCGTGCTACGTCACGAAAAGCATAAGAAATGCCGTTTTTCAACTTTGAGGACATTTTTCTCGAAATCGTGACGTGATAGCCAAATTTGGACAACGAATTCGTGCTCAGCAAGCAAAAATACATCGAAAATGACTATTCACACTCATGTAGTCGATAACATTTAAAATTTGTTGCCTAGTGTTATCGTGCTTTTAATGGCTTTTTCCATTCTGATTGTGATTCTGAGTCCGCCATTTTGAATTTTCAAAAACACCATACGGCAACGAAAAATAGACACTTCAACGAAAATTTTAAATCCTTTTAGAGCATTTTATCTCAAAAATTGAAATGGACAGGGGGATGGCCTTTTTGACAGAGAACGTCCCATATATATATTTATCGCGTCAATTTAATCCTCTTAGGCCTCCCAGATGTTATTATCGTTAATTTTATACGCATCTGGAATACACTGAGTAACTCTTCCAACATGAAAGATGACAATACCGCTGGCTGTTTTGGTTCGTCAACTTTTTTGTTCGTTTACGTAATTGCAATTTTAAATTCGCTGACATTCGACCATCGCGGAAGTAAAACAATTCCAATGCAAACCTCAACAGTTAATATCGCGTTAATGTTTATACATTTATAATATATATGCTAACACGAAACAATAATCGTATAACGTGTATGTGTGATATAATTTTTAAAGCGCAAAAATATGCTTCGGTTTTTCCCTCTAGAATAGTTTTGATGATATGGAAGTACTACTTGAACAAGAGGAAAAAGAGCTCAACAATTTAGAGACACAGTACGCGCAAACGTAGACAAGTTGGTTCTTAAAAATGTCTCATTGACGCATAGCTCTTGATATGCATAGTTCTACATCTAATGCAACGCCCGTTCGCACTGGTAAATTTCACATTATTTGAGTTACTAGAGTTGCTTTCATGGGCGTGCACATAGAGAAGTGAAAAAGAAAGACCGCCGGTAAGAAACATAACCGACATGCATAACAGAGTTAAGCCCGGTTCCACAATTTACTTTAAACGGAATTTAATTGGTTAAATCTAATTTAAAACATAGACGTATAATACCTAGACCGCGCGGTTGCAACATCTCCCTTTCCTAGAACGCGTCAGAAATTAGAAAGAGATAGTTGCTGTACGGATATCATTCTATCTTCTTCGAAAGACGTGTGGTAGGGCAAAGAAGAGTTTGGCGAGGGATGAAAAAAGTAGATAGAAAAGAGTGGAACGATACATATAATCCTCACTCCAAACATTATCAGACGAAGACAGAATGGTACCCCAAAACATGCTTTCTCTTTCTATAATAATATTTGACGACTTTTCAGCCGAATGCGCGGTCTAGTTATTACACGTCTATGGTTTAAAAGAAATATTGCGTTCCACAATTGTCATAAACTTCAGTTACTATATATTTTCTGTGGTTAGAGTTAAACGCCGGATTTTGGGCGTTTAATGAATACAAGCGAAGTTTAATATCGTAGTGCCACCAAAATCGAGATATCTATCGTCCAGTTTTATGTTGATACATTTATTAAGCATCGAAAGATAATAAGAAAATAATTTATACAAAAAAAAGGAGGAACAATAAATTTATTGGAAGACATATATTATCTTCACCTGAAAATGAAGGTCTTGAAAATATAATGATTAACACTTGAAAATTGTAAGAAAACAATCTATACAGCACAGAAGTTGCAACAATATTGCTGCAACATTGCAGCAACGTTTATTCAATTTTATGTACGGGAGCGTAGAAGAAGTCGATAATATTAATTTTCATGCGCGATTTCGTTTACCTTGTACAAGTCCGTTAGCGAAATTGTCCGCTAAGACGAAATGTCGAGCGGTGAAACGTTTGATTGTGGATAACTCTTTGAATCCGATTATTTGTTTTGACTTGCGAGTGACGTTAGAGAGTTATTCACACGAGAAGCTTCGAGAAGGTTGGAAGCTTCGAGAATATCTTTTCTCTTGCGTATGTATATAATCTAAACGTAACGTACACAAGCGATACCGGAGATTAGAGATCCCAGAGACCAGAGAGAGAGAAAGAGAGAGAGAGAGAGAGAGAGAGAAGAGAGAGAGAGAGAGAGAGAGAGAGAGAGAGAGAGAGAGAGAGAGAGAAGAGAGAGAGAGAGAGAGAGAGAGAGAGAGAGAGAGAGAGAGGAGAGAGAGAGAGAAGAAGGAGAGAGAGAGAGAGAGAGAGAGAGAGAGAGAGAGAGAGGAGAGAGAGAGAGAGAGAAGAGAGAGAGAGAGAGGAGAGAGAGAGAGAGAGAGAGAGAGGAGAGAGAGAGAGAGAGAGAGGAGAGAGAGAGAGAGAGAGAGAGAGAGAGAGAGAGAGAGAGAGAGAGAGAGAGAGAGAGAGAGAGAGAGAGAGAGAGAGAGAGAGAGAGAGAGAGAGAGAGAGAGAGAGAGAGAGAGAGAGAGAGAGAGAGAGAGAGAGAGAGAGAGAGAGAGAGAGAGAGAGAGAGAGAGAGAGAGAGAGAGAGAGAGAGAGAGAGAGAGAGAGAGAGAGAGAGAGAGAGAGAGAGAGAGAGAGAGAGAGAGAGAGAGAGAGAGAGAGAGAGAGAGAGAGAGAGAGAGAGAGAGAGAGAGAGAGAGAGAGAGAGACGAGAGAAGAGAGAGAAAAAAAAAAAAAAAAAAAAAAAAAAAAAAGAGAGAGAGAGAGAGAGAGAGAGAGAGAGAGAGAGAGCTGACGAAGGAAGTGACCGAACAGTAAAGACACGTATCTCGCATAATATTCACTAGTCTTTTTGTGTTTTCACTCTTACAACTTCAGAAGTGGGATACAGATCTCTGTATGTTCTAATTCAGAGAATTCGGATTGGTCTCTGTGTCTGATCGGATCGGTGCGGTCAAGTTCGCAGTGTATTCGGTGGTGCCGCCGTTGTGCGAGTATTGCCCTAAGTTGTGTGCCGGGTACTCATTTCGCAGGTCTTGGAGCCATTTGCCCAGCTGTGTGCATGGAGAAGCACGAAGTTCGTACTGCCCACCGACTTGCTGTGTGCAAGAAAGACATTTGGAGCCAGGATACTGAAAAAACTCAACCTGTCTCAGGTTAAGGAGCTCTTACGGTCAAGAGATCTTCTTACTACAGATCATAAAGCTGAATTGAATTTGCATTTACGAGAAAACGACCTCGATGTTCTGAATGCTACGCTCAATGATAGCGGAGAAAAGTCGGGCGCGAGCGGAGACGATGTTGGGGCCGGCGGCGAGAACGATGCTGCGGACGGGAAGGAAGAGCGGCAGAATGGTGCGCGAAATAACGACGCCGCTCGCGAGCTTGAGCTCGTTCGACGAGAGAGAGACTTGCTCCGACGCAAACTCGAATTGATGAGAAGAGAGATAGAATTGAGAAGATAGACGACGAGTCGAAGTCCTGTCGTGAGTGACCATGGCGACGGAGGGATCGGCGACCTTTAAGGCGACTTATTAGGCGAATTTGATGGCGTTGATGGCGAGTTCTGGAGGTGAAAACAACAGGTTGAGTTGCTGCACGAACAAATCTTATAACCTCGATGATAATGCATCAAGGGTGTTGATCAGTCTGAGACTAAGGAGGAAAGCCCTCAACTGGTTACACTCAAGGGGTACATCGTGTTAAGCGCCACGGATCTCTTGGAGACGACTGTTCGGCCATCTTCCGAGTAAATTAGCTGTAAGAAAAGAATTCGAGCAGAGAATGTGGCAGACCGAGGAGTCATTCAACGAGTACTACCATAGCAAGATGATTTTGACGAACTGTGTACCCATAGAGAGTGACGATTACATAATCGATGGAGTACCCGATCAACAACTGCGGGATCAAGCGAAACTGCAACGCTTTGGAGAGGCGGCCAACTTGGTGGAGGCATTCGGAAAAATCACATTGAGAATCACATTGAGACAACCCGAGAGCTAAGAAAACCGAAGGGCGAAGGGATCAGCGGAGGCCTAAGAACGATGCGAGAACGACCGCAAGTGGACGTGCGGAGACGGGCGCGGCGCCGCGGGTGTCTTTAAAATGCTATAATTATCGGGAGAAGAGACATCGTGCAATCGACTGCAGAAAACCGCGAGCCGTGCAAGAGAGAGTTGTAAACAGTGGCGCGGCGACGACTCGCGGCCCTCGGAGAGAGGTTAGCGTATCAACTGGGATGTATTATTTCATCCAGTCGATTGTGGGAAGCGAACCGTATATAGTGTCAGTGAGTTACGAGATCTTTGACGATCAATGTAAGACAAATAAATACTCTTTTATAGCAATCGTAAATACCGGGTCGCCGATTAGCCTAATTAAGTCTGACTACGCGCTGGTTGATTATTGCGTTCCGGTGACAGAAGACGAATATCGCTATAGCGGCATTAATGGCTCGCAAGTAAAAATATTTGGCGTTTTCAAAAAGATCGTTAGGATCAACGGTATTGACGTTCACCTTAAATTTCTTGTTGTGCCTACGACGATAAGCAGTGCTGCTCTATTGGGGGGAGACTTCATCTCTAACTCTGCGGAGAGAATGACTATTAATCAAGCGCTTACAATTTCGCGAAACGTACCTGACTCTGTAATTGAGACGGATAATTTTATCGAATCAAATAATACATATTGACTGCGCTGATCAATCGGATAAATTTGAACTAAATGTTGATCCGAGCGCTCCTCACGACGTGGCTAATAGATTGAGACGAATTTACGAGGACGCGTATCTATCGGAAAAAAAAGTTGAGCCGCCGTTGCATAAACCGGAAATGACGATTCGCTTGAAACATGAGCAACCGATTAGTTTTCGCGCGCGTCGAATGGCACATACAAATAAAATAAAGTTACATGCTGTTCTGGAGGAGTTAATGAAGAAAGGTGTTGTCCGAGAGAGCGCTTTTCCATATACGAGCCCGACTGGTGCAAAAAAAGACGGGGGTTTAAGATTATGTGTAAACTATAGGGAACTTAATAAAACGATCAAAGATAATTTCCCGACGCCACTGAGATAGACGATCAATTGGATCGATTGGGAGATAAAAAGATTTTTAGTTGTCTCGACCTCAAAGACAGATTCCACCACGTTAAAGTAGCTGGAACTTTGATCAAGTATACGTTCTTCATAACGCCTCTGGGATAGTATGAGTATGCTCTTCGGCCTCACGAATGCTCCTCGCGTTTTCCACAGATATATTTACGACGTGTTTTGGTCGATGATATCGAAAAATAAAGTTTTAATATATTAAGTTATCCGAAAAGTTCTAAGAATTCTTGAAGCTTTAAAACAAAAATTTATTAATTGTTCCACCAACAATTAATCTATAATGTATTGTCCATTTTGATCTATCATTGTTTGCCATCTTTCGGGCAAAGAGAAAATTCCGTGCTCGTAGAATGACTTAGGTTTTCCCTCGAAGAATGCAGTCAGATGGCTTTTGATTTCTTCCAACGAATCGAACTCTTTATCCTTCAAAGAGTGCTGCAACGCCCGGAATAAGTGATAGTCAGAAGGAATAATGTCCGGTGAACATGGAGGGTGGGGCAAGACGTCTCAATCATACTCAATGAGTTTTCTGCGAACCACCAATGAAACATATGGCCTCGCATTCATGCCGAAAAACGACGCCTCTCCTATTCACCAGTTCTGGATATTTTATGGCAAGATTTCCTTTCAGGTCAGTTAGCTGAGCGCAGTATTTGTCAGAATTGATCGAATAATTCTGTAGAAGAAGCTCGAAGTAGACGACACCCTTAAAACTCTATCAGATGCAAAGCATAACTTTCTTTAAGTGCAGCCCTCCTTTTGAAATCGTTTGTGGAGGTTCATTCGACTTTCCCCATGATTGTTTCCTTGTTACACTACGATAGAGTATCCACTTTTCGTCGCCAGTCATCAACTGCTTCAAAAAACTCTTTGGAATTTTTTTTAAGAGAGCATCGCTCGCGTCACCGCGAGCGAGGAGGTTGCGTTCAGTCAATGTGTGAGGAAGCCAGACATCGAGGCGACTCATATAATTCACATATTTTAAATGGTCATGGAGCGTACTTTTAGGAACGTTAAGATCCTGTGAGAGTTCCAATACACTTCTGCGAAGATTTTCATCCACTGCTTGCTTCAGGCGGTCCTCGAATGGTGTGGAAGGTCTTTCAGACCGTAGGACATCTTCGAGCTCGAAATTGCTATTACGAAATCGCGTGAATCATCAGCTTACTATTTGATTCGATACAGCATCCTTCCCATAAATGTTGAAAATTTCACTAGTTTAGTGAAGCTAGTTTTCACCGCGATTCCTTTCCGAAAGCAAAAAAGCATAATTGGCTGTCCATTTTCGCAATCGCGCCATCCAATATTGCTTACTTTGTTTGTCAACACAAGACCTGCATTTTAAAGAGCAAAGCGCCATCTGTTAAACGAGTCCTCACCTATAAGCCTTGACCCACGCACTGCCGAACAAACCGATCCCAAATGCGATAGATGGCGGGGATTCTCACAACTTTTCGGATGACCTATGCATGGATGACATACTGAGAGGATACGTGGCCTTCCTCGTAGGGCCGCGAGTCGTCGCCGCGCCACCGTTCGCAACTCTCTTTTGCACAGCTCGCGGTTTTCTGCAGTCGATTGCGCGATGTCCCTTCTCACGACAATTATAGCATAGTTTTTCAGCTCTCGGGTTGCCTCTCAATGTGATTTTTCCGAATGCCTCCACCAAGGCCGCCTCTCCAAAGCGTTGCAATCTTGCTTGGTCCTGCAGTCGTCGATCGGGTACTCCGTCGGGTATACCGTCGATTATGTAATCAATAAGCTCACCACTCTCTATGGGTATACGGTTTGTCAAAGTCACCTTGCTATGGTAGTACTCGCTGAATGATTCCCCGGTCTCTGCTCGAATTCTTTTCTTAGAGTTAGTCTGCTCGGACGATGGTCGAACAGTCGTCTCATCCTCTCCAAGAGATCCGTGGTGCTTAACACGATGTACTCCGGGCTTGATCAATCGATTCGTTTAGTAAAGTTTGCGATTAATAATACTGTATACGGAGATATCCCCAGTCAATTGTTGTTTGGACTGGATCAGGTGGGACAAATAAATAATTTCCTGCGTATGCTTTTAGACAATTCGATCACAGAAGATAGAAATTTGCCAGAGTCGCGTCAAAAAGTTTCCCAGAGAGTGAACGAGAGTCAAATCGCTAATAAGAAATCGTATGACAATAAGCGCAAAAAAGTGACTAAATATAATGTAGGCGATTACGTAACGATAACAAATGTAGATTCCACGACTGGCATAAACAAAAAGGCGGCGTCGGAGATTAGAGATCCCAGAGACCAGAGAGAGATCTGAGCGAAAGAAGTGACCGAACAATAAAGACACGTCTCGCATAATATTCACTAGTTTTTTTGTGTTTTCACTCCTATAATCCAAAGAATCTGTTGCTGCAATGTTAGTAAAAATCTTGCAACTTGTTTTCGTTCTTACTCCTTCCTCCCGTCTTATTTCCGACCATTTATTATTGATCAATCACAATCTATGTTTGACAAGAAGGAGAAATCTTTGAACTTTATTCATACAAACTGTAGGTTTATATAGTTAAACTACAGTTATAAATACAATGTGGAACGCAATGCAAGTTTAACCATGATGTTAAATGATGTTAAATAACAGTCGTTCAGCTAAGCATGGCTTGAAATCGAATTTGTGGAACTGGACCTTGGAACATCAGGGAACTTGTCGATAAGCACTTCCGATCGCAACTCGACGTGTGTTTAGTCTTACCACTAATTCCCTGACGCATTAAATTAGCTCCAGGTTCCTTCGTCAGGGGAGTTCAAGGTAAACGGCAAGCAGGATACGCAAAAGACCAAATTGTAAGAAACAAGCAAGCCGGAGGACGGTGATAAAGTTGTCATAATAAAATTTCATAGGTCTACCGAGTGGGGCATTAAAAAAAAAAGGAAAAAGAAGAAAAAAAAGCGTCCATTTACTTTCCGCTCGTCCACCAGCTATTTTATCACATCATCTCTCGACACACCTTATAACGACAGCTCAAAGACGACATGCGCGCACGCGCGTACGCACACGTATGTGCACGTACATTATGTATATTTATATATTTGTATTTATATTTATATTATTTATCTCAGTAGTGTTCTCTATTTCTTCCCCCCTTCCCTCTTTCTCTCTCTCTCTCTTTCCCGCAATCGTATCCGCATTTCAGATTACCAATCTTACATAACAAACCTCGTATTAGTAGAGATCGAGCCGTTACCAGTCGTAGTCATGTTGATGAAAGGGATTAGTGCATGGTTGTTGGGCGTGTAGGTGGATAGTCGGTTTTACGAGATCGAATTCCCTACCCACCACTTCACTGTAGATCTATCAAACAGGAAAGTGTCGTTAATTCTCCCTCTGTTCAAGAGTGCGACATATACTATGGGATTCTGTTTTCTTTTTTTTTTGGTATTTTCATTGAATGTTCGTGGCAAAGTATAGATAGGATTTCTCGCGTTCAGTGAGTATATTGCGTTCCGCGGAAGATGCAAGAAACAAGACCCGGAAGCCTCTTTCCTTCCGTTCTCTTCCTCTTTTTTTTCCTTCTTTTTATTTTCATCAGCATTTTCTTTTCTTTTTTTTCATTTACCGACAGAAATATCACGTCTTCCTGCTGGACGTTTTAATTAGAATGGTTTTACTGAACCTGGAAGCTCCTACGAATATACTCGTCCTCTCCCTTGCCAGTCATACCATAATTATATCCACCTTCGCCGCCACTGCCGCTATTCAAGAATGGATTCGTTGGATTGCCAGGACCTGCAGATAATCGGTAAATTATAACACAAAGTGTCAGAAAAGAGATTAAACGATATATACACTTTCATAATGTTTTTAGAATCTTTTAACGTTTTATCTGCACATCTCAGGCGTAACAATGTTGTTTAATTTTGTAATGAAGAAGAAGATTAATCACCGCTACCAGTCGCGTAATAAACTATTAGGAATGTGACTTAGTTTTGAGTGTTTTGCAAGAAATGGCACTAATGTCAATTTTGTCGAAGACATTCCAATCACAGCTATTGTTTCTTAATGATTTAATATTAATCCATGATATTTAATCATTTAATTAACAATAGATGCAGTAAAAATCGTGTTAATACCATTTTAAAAATGGAGCTTCCCAAAGAGCATTTTCGATATGCGTTTTGTTTTTTAACCCTCAACGTTCACTGGCGGTCCATTGGACCCCAAGGTATTTTTGATTGAATTTTTCAATATCTAATTTCTTGAAAATTGAGCTTGACCTGCTATTTAGTGTTACTTCACGGAATCCTCTTTTAATTAGAATACCTGGCTTAGTTCGTAAACTGTCAGTTTCCGTTTGACAGTTGATCAAAGTTAACCTATTGGATTTTGGAGTACTTCAGACAGTTCAGATCCCAATGTGAACGAAGCGTTTCTGTTTTGAAAAAATCTTACAATTTTTTTTCGTTAATAAAGCGATTAAAAAATCAATAAAAAATGTAAATATTAAGTAGATGACGTTGGAAATTTTTTTGTGCAATTTTCAAACGATTTCTAGCTATGTTCCAGAAAATTAACTGGAAAAGAACAAATTATAATTTGGATCGAGCTGGGCGACCGCGAGATTCGCGAAAGCCGACATATACTAAGGTCCTAGGGGAATAAGCATGTAAAAATTGCCCCCGCACGTATCAAGGTTAGATTGGCACCATAGATTGACATTTGTGTGACTAACAAATCCTGCAAATATCAACCTTCAAATTCAAAATTTTTATAGGAGTTATGGAGGGGGGAAGCAAAATAAAAAAGTGATTTTTCTCGAAAACGGCTTAACCGATTTTGATGAAAAAAATATATGTTATGAACATTAATGAGACAATTTAAAAAAACTTTTTTTTAATTCTAATAAGAAATATGGGTAAAAAAATTGTTTGAATTTTTCAAAAAATTTTTTTGAGGTTATGTTTCAGAGTGACACCTCTAATTTTTTATTTAAAAGATACCTCCGAATGTCTGCTTTAACATTCATTTTTCCCAAATTTTTCATGGAGGTACTTCATATCGAAAAATGATGAAAATCATGCGGCGCGGCGCCACGCTTTCACAGCACATTTTCGCTCTAGCTGCGTAAATCAAATGTTCTAGTCTCGCTTTTAAGCTGAATTCTTGAATTATTTTACGACAAAGTTGTTGTTCGGCGCTCACCCCCGTCACCTACCTATCCCTCTCACGCCTCTTATCTCTCCTTCTTGTTTCTCCCATTCTCCTATACAGACGCTCGCTTCTGCCGCCGCGTCTCACGGATAGTGGGAGTAAACGCCGAGCAAGCCCGGACTCGAGTTCGCATCATTGTTTACGACAGAGCCGAAGGTTTCATTCCGAAAGGCAACTTTAGCTGTGACGATTTTGACTATTTTGATGTAGATATTCTCTTATGATTTTTCGTGAGAGCTGAAACTCATTCCTTTCTTTGATTTATGACATTTATTACTTCGATTATTCGTATTGCTTTTTTATTTGAGAATGCCTAGGACAACTGAAATAAACTTGAAGTGCACCGGTTGCGACACATTTTTGAAAAAAGTAAAAGGTAAAAAGAAAATTATTAAAAATGTAAATGAAGCTAATGATTTCTCTTCATTTCTGCAGCGAACAATAGCTGTTAATGATATTTTATGTTCAAAATGTCGACTTTTTTTTTATAGAAAGAAATATACTAAAAAAGATGTTGAGTCTGAAATCGAAAAAGATCCTTCCTCTGAATCCCGATATCGATGATACAACGTTCGAAATTAAAAGACCCAAGAAAACAAACACTGAGGTGGCGCCGCGCCGCATGATTTTCATCATTTTTCGATGTGAAGTACCTCCATGAAATATTTGGGAAAAATAAATGTTAAAGCAGACATTCGGAAGTATCTTTTAAATAAAAAATTAGAGGTGTCACTCTGAAACATAACCTCAAAAAAATTTTTTGAAAAATTCAAACAATTTTTTTATCCATATTTCTTATTAGAATTAAAAAAAATTTTTTTTTAAATAGTCTCATTAATGTTCATAACATATATTTTTTTCATCAGAATCGGTTAAGCCGTTTTCGAGAAAACTCACTTTTTTTATTTTGCTTCTCCCCTCCATAACTCCTATAAAAATTTTGAATTTGAAGGTTGATATTTGCAGGATTTGTTAGTCACACAAATGTCAATCTATGGTGCCAACCTAACCTTGATACGTGCGGGGGCAATTTTTACATGCTTATTCCCCTAGGCCCTTTGTCGTAGAGCTTCGCGGCAGAGATCCTAGTAAACACAATATTACATGTAACGTGCATGTTAGTTGTAATTTCCTACTCAACAATATAACTGTTATATAACACATATGTTATATAACATATACACATGTGTAATATAACAGTTATATTGTTGAGTAGGAAATTACAACTACGAAGAGTTCTTTTGGTAAGGCGACAAACAAAACGCGATCGTACAGCGATCGATTTCTAAGGATTTAAGCCGATATATTTCAAGCAACGATGAGAGAACATTTGAAGAGAGCAAATTTGCTTGTCTGTCATTGGTGTATTATTAAGGATAAAAGTGACTGTCTGTTACATCGCCAGTTTAATCGGTCCTCATTTACAAGAGCGGTATACAAATATAACAATCCGCAGAGATTTGAAGGCAGCAATTGCAGGCATTTTAAAAATGCATACACCTATCTTTGAAAGTTTACAACGTATTCAATTAGATAAAAAAGTAAAATGCTTGTTGTGCAAGAGACAGAAAGACAAGAAAATTGCGTGTCTTTCATGCGAGCGACCCATGTGCGATGAGCACCGCGTTTTTCTTTGTGGTAACGTGGATCAATAAATTTAAATATGTTATTTTAACAAGACATTTTCTTACTTCTGAAATAATAAAATAAGTATTTCTTATCAGATTTGCCACATTCATAATAATTTTGTAATAAAAAATACAAATATTTTGCATATTTCCTGATTTCCATTTTTTTGAGAAACAACCTTCTTCATATTTCAAAATAAATATGTTTTTTGGAACGCCCATTATGAAACTATTTGTTTTTCTTAAAGTGTCATATTTTTAGAGTATGTCCATAAATTTTTAGCTTAAAATATTGAAATTAAAAAAATTTATGAATATTTATGTAAAAAAGTCATTTTTCAAGTTTTTTTTTTGCGAATTTTTTTTTGGTACTTAAGTGATGTAAGATGATTTTGCAATGATTTGTTCTTATTTTGCTCGAGTTAAAGAAGGTTTATAAATTTCCTCAACTTAAATTTCTCAATAGTTTCAAAATGGCAATAGTTCAAAGTCGTTGGGGGCTTTTGGACCCCAGTGTGAACGTTGTTTCCTACCATGAAAGTGTGAACGTTGAGGGTTTATCAGAAAAAAAATGGCAGCTGAAGATCATAGAATTTTGACCGAAACTTATAGCAATGATGCTCCATCAATTAAGACACGTGAATATTGGTTTAGACGATTCAAAAGTGGTGATTTCAATGTTAACAACAAAAATCGCTCAGGACAATCAAAAAAGCTTGAAAATGCAAATTTGCAAGCATTATCGGACGAAAATCCAGCGCAATCCACTTGAGAATTTATCAGAGTATTAAATCGTACAATAGTTACTAAACCTTTACATGATATAAGAAAGATTCACAAAGAAGGAAAATAGGTTCCAGATCAATTATCGAAAAATGCTGTCGCGAATCGGTTGAACATTTGCATTTCATTGATAAAAAATGAAGAGTTTTTTGTATCGAGTTGTTACTGGAGATGAAAAATATATTTATTTCGATAATCCCAAATGAAAAAAGTCATAGGTTAATCCAGATTAACCAGCAACCTCCACTTCAAGGCACAATATTCATGGTTCAGATGTATTACTATGTATTTGGTGGGATCAAGAAGGTATCGTGTACTATGAACTGTTAAATCTGAATAAAACTGTCACCGCTGATCGTTATCGACAACAATTATACAAATTGAAGCGAGCATTGGACCAAAAACAATCACCAATTGTGAGTAAACGACGCAAAGTGATCCTTCTTCGCGACAATGCTCGACTTCATGTTGCATTATCAGTAAAGCAAATGTTATTAGAGCTGGAATAGAAAGTTTTACCGCATCCCGCGTGTTCTCCAGGCATTGCTCCATCCAATTATCATTTGTTCCGGTCGATGCAACATGCTCTAGAGGGTACACTTTCATAACAAGTGCGAAAATTTGTTCAATTCCAAAGAAGAATCTTTTATCGTCGCAGAATCCATCTCTTGTCAGAAAGATGGGAACAAGTTGTAGAAAACGAAGGAAAATATTTTAATTAAGATATTCGTTCATTATCTTGTTTAAGTAAATCAGTTTTTAAGAAAAAAGCCTCAAAACTAAATCACACCCCTAATACATACAAGAAAATAATCAAGAAAATACTTAAATCGATATCTACGTTTTCTTCAGATAATGTGACGGATTCTCATTGCCTTCACAATTGAGGAAATATAGTCGCACTCTTTCAAAATGTCTCCACTGTCAAATCTTCTAAAATAAGGGCATCCTCACCTCCATTAGCGCCGGGTACGGCCAGATTCCCACCACTAGTCTGATAAGTAGCACCGTAACCAGCATCTTGATTAGCCAGTTCGTGCAAACGACTGGAACTCAATGCTCTAGGTATAGCGTTGCTCGGTACGCCGTGCGGTGCCAAATGGGTGGCTTCCGCTACTTGATGCGGATCCTCCGTCTGTGGTAGCTCGGACACGAAACCGGTATCCTTCCTATAGAAATTGATGAACACGAAGATCGCCAGGACAACGATGCAAATAAGACCGTACGCTCGGAACGTTGTGGTCGTACCTGTACATTAAACATCGATATATCGTCTGTGCGTCTTTTTAAAAATGCCTCTACACGTGGAAGATTGTTAATTTCAGGATTATTAATCTGCGAGGCAGATTCATCATCGGAATCTGAATCGTAATTATAAATGTAAACACGAAATTTCCCGTTGCCTGCATATAAAGTGTTGAAGTTCGATTATGTTTTACACAAAGTGTAAAGAGTTTAAGAACTTTCGAGTCTTGCATCATCATCTGCTCGAGTCAATCAATTAAAATCGTATTTGTTTGCGGAGGAGAGTTGCAAATGATTTCAATCGAAACATCAGGTATATACGAGAAACATACCATAGGCCGCAACGAACATGCCACCGATCACCGCTCCGCAACCTCTCCCAAGCCCATGATGAAGTCCCTGAAGAACACCCTGTGCACTGGAGCGCAATTGCGGCGGTGTATTGTGAGCGATGTAGCTGCAGCATGCTGCCCACACGGCCGCGTGTGTGATACCCTGAATGAACTCGAAGGGCAACACCCACCATGGTTTCCTCAGCCAAGATATATAAAGGAACCGAAGCACGTTTCCGCCTAAACCGAGGCACAACACCTGAAACGAAATGAAGTCATTATTGTGAAGAACGCACCACAAAAAGTACATTACGACGAGCATCCATTATTATTCAATGAGCTCACCTTAACGTGGCCAATCTGGCGGATGAGCTTGAAACTGAAGAAATACGCAAAGATCTCGGAAATGTGGTTGATCACGGACGCAACGCCAAAGAGGGTCGGCGAGCCGCCGTAATCCTGAAGATGCCAGAAGAGAAAGGTGAAGATCAACCCAATGCCGAATCCCATGAACCACGCAACGAAGAGAAACGAGGCGCACTTGAGATCTTTGAATTGCTTCAACACTGTCACCCACTCCGGTATCTCTTTCGTCGTTTGAGCAAACATTTTCGTCTGAAACGGTGCAGTCGTGAAATCAGGTTTGTCGCTCGCGAGATAATCTCTCATAATAAATTCTCATTTCAGCAGCAATTATAAGTCCCAATCTCTCATGATCGTAATAATTTTCCCCCGGCGAAAAACAAAAAGAAAGAAAGGGAGGGAGGAAAGAAGAAAGGAAGAAAGGAAGGGGGAAAACGCAAAGCGAGGTGATAGGTTATCGCGTGTTTTGGTTGAAAAAGAAGAAAAACAGATCGAATACGAACCTTCCCTTCGGGAGGTTGAGGCTTAGGATCCACAGCAGCGGACGAGTCCTGCAGTCCAGGCAGATTCAACTGCTGGGATAACTGATTCTGCAGTTGTTCCTCCCGCGTCAGTTCGGCCGGAGGTTTCTCCACTTCCTACGTATATGAAGGCAGACGCGCAAGATTACGAGACCGCAACGTAAAACACCAAGAAGAATAACTTAATTATGATAGATGTTAACGAGCTTACCGGCTCAGCGGGCATAAAGTCATACTTGAAATTAATTTGCGTCGCGGTTATTAACGCAGCACCCATTAGCACACTGAATATCGCGAAACAAATCGTGTAATTCTTTTCTCTCAAGTCGGGCTTACAAGGGTGGTCTGGGAACGCGGTGCTGTGGTCGAGGGCGATCCCGACGAAGAACATGGCCAAGCCCCACCCGAGACTTCCGAACATGCGTTGATGGCCGTATCTGATCGTTGAGATTCATTGATTTTACAGGCTTACAGGTTATAAATTAAAATTACGTGAAATGTGCGTCAACCTTTAAAATACGGAGCGGAGGACCTTGGGTCTCCCAAAATTTATGTGAATCCGTAGAAATAAATGTTGTGAACTTAATTAAATAATATAATATATATGAAAAAAAAACATCAGAAAATACACACAATAAAAATTATTTAATGAATTTTTAGTGAGAAGACCTTGGTGACCCCACTCCGTCGTTTACGTTTCAAAGATAGGCTCAGTACTCTAAAGATTAAAAGGGAACACATTTCGATATTTACCTATCGGCATCTTCGCCCAACAAGGTGATAACAGCCGAGTCGGCTAAAGTTATAGCGGGTGCCGAAAAGAATTCGCCGACTATGACTAGCAGTAGCAGAAGAAAGAATGTTTTCTGGATGTCCTGAAATATATATTATCATATTTGATCGATGTGTCAATCTGGCCTTAGGTTCTAAGAAATCTAAAAGTTCCATATCCTTCCATCAAATTCTAATTCTTAAGTTCATATTCTGAACTCTCTTTCATCACTAAAAGTGATTTTAAAGGTGACTTATAAGCCACTTTTGACTTTTAACGAGAGAGACTTTAAAAGAGAGTTCAAATATGAGCCTTAGAATCAAATTTGGCTTATAGAAACCAGAAATTCTGTTTCCTTCGAAATAAAAACGCATTTGGCTCGTTCATTGCCACGTTGATTCAACCGATCGAGACGAATACGCGCGTTGTCTTGAAATTAAGGAGCTTTCTGCTTTCTACTTCGTGTATAAGCATTCTTGCATGGCTCTTATCAGCCGGACTTAATCCTTACTGATTGAATATCAATAACCTTTCGTTTAGTCCGTAGAATCTGTCTACAGATTTTTTTTCATGTATCGTTACACGTCACAGTAATTGCGTTTTCGCGTTCGTTCTATAGATCCGATTTGAATTTATTTCTCACAAATCTCAAAATTACATTTCGCAATGTGAAAATTGCGCTAATCCGCGCAGACTCACCGGCAATCTATAGACTATGGAGCTGAAGATTGGTTTCACCCATCCTTTATTCTCCTTCGCATCGTAGTTCTCCGCGTAGGTAACCGATAACGGAGACAACGGGTACTCTCCAATGGGTCCGTGGACTACGGCATTTGCATTTCTGCGATTCCTCGTGAAGAACATGTTCGCGTTTTCTTGGTCCTCCTCTTTGTCATTATCATCAAACTGGACTGCATCGTCCTCCTCCTCCTCCTCCTCCAAAGACGTCAGCTTCCTCTCCGTGTCTCGTTTCACCATTATCTTCTCCGGTGGCGGTTTCACGCGCGTCTTCATGTGCACGTAAGCCTTCTTCGGGACCGTTCTACCGGTGATCGGCTCATTCTGTGAAAAATGAACACGTTTCGTACGACGCAACACATAACTCTTGCAAATAGAACGTAGGCTGAAAGAAAAAGATTATCATTTTCTAAATTATGTCGTAAAATGGTGATTTTCTCTATTAAAAAAAAGTTGTTTTTGACTTTGAAAAATGTTGAGAGAGTTCGCATGTAAAATTAGATTGGCACTCTTTTAACATTCGTTCGTAAGTTTGCGGTCACTAAGTATCGAAGGGAGTAAGCGAGACGAGCGTGCACTCACCTTCATAAAACGTTTGTACTCCAAAACATCGGCCGGGCGATTTTTCTCCTGCAACGCCTCCAGGTCGATTGTCGTCGGATCCGTATCGCCGTTGTTTTCAAATACCAACTGCTTGTACCTGAGATCTTCGACATTGCTGTCCTCGGTGGTGGCTGCCGCTGCTTGCCTTCTGACTCGGTTGCTCTTCAAGTCGTATGTGACGGAAACGTCGTTATCGAAAGCTCTGACGCCATTTCCCTCGATGTCGTAGGACTTTCCGAGCATGCTGACTTCCTTCAACGGATCCGACCTCCTCACGTATTGATGATCATATATTTCATTGTCATCCGTGCTTCGTCGTAACCTCTCGAAGACGACGTTGGACGCGACCTCCAGATATTCGTTCTCGTTCACAGGGTAGTACAGCTCGTCCAAGTCGGTCGATCGCTTCACGATTCTCTGCTCTTTGTTGAACGCCTCGAGATAAGCGCTGTTGTTCGCATGAACTATGCAAGAGGTCGGCGGAGGCTGGATGAAGCCCAACGGTAGAGTGAAGATGATCCAACAGGAGAGAGAAGCCAACAAAATAAGTTTGCCTTTCTGCCATCTGCAAAACCATGTACAAGGATACTTCGAGCTAGGCTTCTTGAGCAATTCGACTCGAATTCAAACTCGTATAATTTCAACAAAAAGACAATCAAAAACTCGAGCTTGATAATTAAAGCGAAGACGATCTCCGGTAGACACACGGAGGTTGAGTCAACGTAACAATGAATGAAGCGAACGTGTATTGAAGGCAACGGAAATCCTAAAATTTCTGACGAGCCAAATTCGCTTCAAAGAACCAGAAGTTTCGTTTCCTTCGATTAAGACGCATTCATTGTCACGTCAATCAGTCAACAACCTTCTCTCTCCATGCGCTGTGTGTTCTCTATGAAAACCATCCGCTACTTTATGAAAGCTCCTTAATTTCAAGACAACGCGCTTATTCGTCTCGACCGACGTCTGATCGGAGACGGAAAAAGAGCGAGTCGACAATATGGTGTCACCTGTCGGCCAGGGATCCCCAGAAAGGAGCGCTTAGGAACTCGATGAAGGGCCTGAGACCGATGAGGAGACCGCACTGTCCGGCGTTCATGCCCATTTGCTTGAAGTACACTCCCATGAGCGGAAACAGCGAGCCGAAGGCGGAGTAGAAGAAGAAGTAGAAGGTCTTTACAGTGAGGAGCTCCTGATCGACGGCGCCGAACAGGTACTCCAGGATGTCGCTCTTGCCGCGGATCTTATGCGTGGCCTCCTTCGGCTGAGGATACAGCTCGGGATCGACGATACCCTCCGCCTGTGGGTCCACCATCGGCCTAGCGCCCGGAACTTGCGGCAGAGTCCGGCTGTTCGGTTGCACGGGCGCGTCGCCCTGCGCTCCATAGTCGTAGTCCTCGTGGCCATAGTTCTGCATGATCCCCCCCGGTGCACGTCCTCGCGCAGAGCTCGGGCTCGCTCTTACAACGGAAGGTGTCCTCTCCTCTTCCTCGGCTACCCCCGACGGCTACCCCGACGGAAACGTCGTCGTCGTCGTTGTCGTCGTCGTGGAGTGTAGCTCGCCGTCTACGAACGTTCCGCTCGCGGAGTCCCGGGACGAATCCTTCTCTCGTTCTTCGCTCCTCGTCGGCTTCTCCAACACGGTGGATCTTTTGATTAGATCGACTGCCAAACCGGTGCTTGGTATCTCCGTCAAATCGATGTTGGACCATATAGGACAGCTTTGCTTCTAAAATCGATAAACATGTTACTGCGCCGGCGTAACTTTTGCCCTCTTACCGCTCCCACCACGCGCGCCAGTGTGTCTTCAATGTTATATCGACGCGGGAGAGAATTCTTTCGGCAAGTGCTATTTAAGCTCACTCTCTAATTTCGTTATCGGAATCGGCCGTGTCGATTTGTCGCACCTTCCCCTATTGTCTTTTCTGTGGAAAGAACCTGCCTTTCTCGGCAGGTCTTACTCGCGTCTCACGGGTTTTTCGATGAAATCAAGTTCAAATTTCGTACGGAGTGAAAAACCAGAAATGATTGAGCGCTATATTCGGATGTGGAAAACACGACGTGTCGTAACGCGGATTTGTTGGTGATCGTTCAAGTTTAAAGAAGCAAATGCACATACGCACACACATACATGATAAATATATTAATACAACATTTTTATTAAGCATATTCCAATCGCTCGAGAGTTTCTGAATAATATACGTAATTACATCAATAGATCGGATTGGCAAAGGAAGACTCACTGCTTGTGCACGATCTTCCGATTTGAATCCTTTGGATTTTTACTTAGGGGGATATCTTGAGATTGTTGTGTATGAGACTCCTGTTATGTGTACGAGACTGTTGTTACTGTGGAAATATTCCGAAATCATATTATTATTATTATTATTATTATTATTATTTCAAAATCGTATTATTATTGTTATTATTATTATTATTATAGTATATTAGTATCATTATTATTGTTTCATGTAACAAAATACGAAATATTCCGGGAATTTTTGAACGTCTTCGTCTTACATGCATGAGACGTCGATTCAAGACATGGAAGAAAATCATTTCCAATCATTTCTTTAACAAAATATTCTTGCCAAAATCTATTGTAAATATAAAATGTTTGTAACTTGCGAAAGAAACGTTTATGCATCCATGCTTATACGACCTTCTTTCATCCTTACGGTGAGTAGAATATGCTCTTAAAATTTAGTTACGTATTTCTGAAAGATCCTATATATTATTAATTTTCTAATGTGTTTGACAATAATCCGTTCCATATCTTCGTTGATTCTTTTCTTACAATCGCCGTATTTCGCGAATCTTTTTGTGCATTATCTAAAGTTCTTGGAGTGGGTGAGGGAGCATGAAAAAAATGCGTGACGTTTATCGGAAGGAAATAAATAATATTACGTTTTATTACATCGTTTTGTATAAATAAGTTATTATAATAAGCTGCGATTAAATAATTAACATTTATATACAGGTAATTCGCCGTATAGTTTCGGTGACGAAATGTGGCTTTTAGATAACTTTGAGCATCGAATCCTTGTACGAATGCGTCGAGTTCGAGGAGCTGATCGCGGCCGACGAGGGTGCAGATTTGGCTGGTCCTTGAAACATGCAGGTCTTCGCCGTCTTCAAGAGACGGCCATTGTTCGCGGTTCGCCAATAGACCGTGCGAACCGCCTGCTTCCCAGCAACGTAGCTGACAGCACCACCGATCAGCATCTGCAAAGAAAATGTCATACGTTTCAGAGATGCTTTTTTCACATGGAATTAACCTCGAGTCGAAGGATAACACAGTAAAACATAATAATGAATCGGCGTATTGCTCGTGAGAGTACAGAAACGGTGTTTATCGAGAGAGAACAAATAACAATCTCTCGCTTAAATATCGACGTTTCGTTGCCGGAGAAACGTATGACGTTCGATTAAAACTTCGGAGATGATCTGTTAGTTGGCGACAGAATTATATTTGACAATGTCATGTGACGTATGAAATATTCAAAACTTTATGCACATGTATACGCATTTTTCGAAGTTATTTATATGAAATTTTCGTGCATACATCCACGAAAGTAGCAGCAATTTTTCGGGTCCTTTCCTTACGAATAAAGTTTTGCACTTACAGAAATTTATTACTGGCTGTGATAAATTGGCCAGTGATAACAAGCAATTTTATTACTCGTATGAATAATAAAATTACTCGTACGAATAATAAAATTACTTATTATCACTGGCCAATTTATTACAGTCAGTAGTAAATTTCTGCGAGGGTGCGCGAATAACAATTCGCGAATTGCAAATCTGTCGAGTTATTCAACGCGAATGTTATCGCGAATTATAGTTCGTAGACAACGGATTCCAATCGCGAGCCGAGCAAATAGACTGAAAAGAATTGGATCCGGTCGAGTTGGATTCTCATCGCGAAGATAGACTGAAGAGCTCGAAAATGGAGAAACAAGCTTACCTTGCTTATGTGATGAATTCTGTATATACTGGATATCGACTAGATGATCGTTGATATATAACTTCCCGAGTTATATTTCGGAATATCAAGAGCTGATATTACAAGTTAGATGGACTCCTCCTTCCTACCTCATCTGTGCGAGCGGAGGTGAAGCACTCGGACTGATGCCGAGTCGCTCCATGTCGGATATTTTATACGTTAACCGCGACGTCACAAGTCGCGCCGCGATAAGAGGCACACGCGTCATTCGTGACAATCATTGTTGTCTCGTTGCCTGAGAGCAGAAAATTTTTGTCGCTGCCGAGTGAGAGGAAGATTTCGATAACGGCGACACGTGGATGCCCCGCGAGGTTCTTACTTAACGGATTTATCTGGTGCGATTTATCAGTGGTGAGATTGATAAACATGACTGTGGCGCAACGACGACATGCATTTCGCCCACGGAGAGAGTGAACAATCTAAAATATGGACTATGTACGATAGCTATAAGTGCATGATAGGCGAAATTGACGTCGAAGATATGCTGCGCTTTGACGTAGAATCGTACATAAACTATAACGAATAACGATTCGGATAATTCGCAACGAGACTGAGGGTTAGCGGGAATAACAAAAAATCATGCACGTCATATCGCGTCGGTCGTCGACTCTCATTACTATCGAGAACTACGCATGATATATTTTAATAAGAAAAAGAAAATGTGCAATTCCCCGTTCGCTGTTGGTCTTTCGAGAAAATTAGACGTACTTGTCATTTATCACCATAATGTCTCATTCTCGGCTAAATTCGTTTTCGAAAAAATTAATGCTATTATTGCTTTTAAATATTAAAGTTAATATTAATATTATCCAATATTGCTCTCAGTGTATTACAGGATCATTATTTATCGTTAGGATCGTTCTTCCCCATTTTTTACCTCATAAATTTCTGCGATGAAATTTCAAGCGAAGATTTTGTTAAAATAATAACTGGCGATTAATCGAAATATGCACGAAACTTTTTGCTTGATTTCCTCTTTGTAAAATGTAATCCTCTTTGTCCTAAAAATTAGTTTATTTCACAAATCATCAGTTATTCGAAGCTTAATGTTTCAGCTTTTTTTAGCAAAAGCAATTCAAAACTCCAAATTCATCAAGAAGTTCACAGTTATAGGGACACAAAATGGCTAATAAGCTATTTTGTACATGCATATTAGTAGCATGTGTGTGTGTGTTACTATTACATCGGAAATTTATAAAATACACTCACCCGCAAAAAAACGGGCCACTAAATTTTAGCACAGTTTTCTGCATATCTTTCAATAGCGATAACTCAGCCAAAATTCATCCTATTGATATGAAACAATGTTCAAATTAAAGTTTGGACATTTCTTATTATCAACCAAAAACCTAAAAGTGAATTATAATAAATATTTTACAAAATGGCGGATGTTAAAAATTGACTTCAATTAATGGAAAAAAAAATTTGTGTTTTAACTGTCGCACTGTTCAAGGGAATTGGTTCTCTGATACAAAAATATATGAGGTTTAAAGCTCATTTATTTCCTAATAAATCCATATTTTAATAATTTTTCTACGACCCTTTTCGATAAAGTTATGTCGTTTTGAAGAAAATGTTACAAAATTTTCTCATAAAGCATGCGATTCAGAATAAAAATTGGAAACTTGGAAAACTTTTTCAAAAAGGAAATTAACATGTAACTCGATCAAAATGTTCCATGTGATGATAGATGGTCGGATTTAAATCTCGTGTGAGTGCGTGCGTATACCTATGCATGCATGTGTATGTCCTGCTTTTTAACGTTACCAAGATCAACGGCGTGGAAGTGGCAGGAATCTGATCCCACGTATATCAGTGTGGGTATGTGTGCGTTCATGTGTGTGTGCGCGCGCGTGTATATATGTGTATCTGTGTGTGTGTGTGTGTTTAAGTTTAATAATGCGTATTGCCCTCTCTCGTATTTAACAATTCTTCTGTTCGTTGGGACATACTGTAAATCAAATTTTTTATTTCTTCTTGTTTTACGTTGTTCCATTCTTTTTACAAAACGTTGCAAAGTGCTGCTAACGTTTGAGTATTATGTTTTCTTATTCTTCGTTTCAGCATGCCGCCCATAAATGCTCCATAGAATTCATATCAGACTCGTAACATTTTCTTCAAAACGGCATGACTTGATCAAAAAAGGTCGTAGAAAAATTATTAAAATATGGATTTATTAGGAAATAAATGAACTTTAAACCTCATAAATTTTTGTATCAGAGAACCAATGCCCCTGAACAGTGCAACAGTTAAAAAACAAATTTTTTTTTCCATTAATTGAAGTCTATCTTTAACATCCGCCATTTTGTAAAACATTTATTATAATTCACTTTTAGGTTTTTGGTTGATAATAAGAAATGTCCGAGCTTTAATTTGAGCCTTGTTTTATATCAATATGATGATTTTTGGCTTAGTTATCGTTGTTGAGATATATGCAGAAAACTGTGCTAAAATTTAGTGGCCCGTTTATTTTTTGCGGGTGAATATATATATATTTCTTTTTACGCATAAAAGCGACTCGCCGTGACATTGACGGAAAGTTTGCGCAGTGTCGTCGCGCTGGCTGTTATGAATCAATTGGGACGTCAATCGTCTCGAGTGGAGATTGCAAAAATCATAGTGACGTCAGATAAGAGTGCACAGCCGGAGCTCACGTGAAACTCTCGTGCTATCATAAACAAAGAACGGCATTAGAACGATCGTGATACGTGATCGCTAATTCCGATAAGAAATGCGTACATTGCATCGTATAACGCCAACCAGCGGAGGCGAAGTCCGGAGTCCCATGCGACAGTTCTATGCGACTTCTCGCCAAACACATCGACGTTTGCCAAACGCTCTCAAAGCGTAGAACGCACCGTGAATCTCACGGATTAACAATAAAGTCAATTTAAAGTAGGGGAAAAACGTGTTTTCGATTGTAATTATTAATTTCTTCTGAATAACAGATTACGAACTTGTTTACGTGACTCACGCTCGGAGATTCTTCAAAATCTTGAGTATTTTCGGAAAGCAAGGTATCGCGACATATTTATCTGACGACCCCCTTATGTTCACGGTATCGACAACTTAATTTTGGTCGGTGAGATAATCACTAGACAGATGATTGAGTCGAGTACACGTTTTGTTTTGGGAAACGTCAAGTCGCAATATGATACTCAGATACGATCTTTAGATATAACGATCGCTTATGTTACTTTCCATTCAGTTTGATACGTCTGTATTAAGGATGAAATATTTCCACTTAATACTCGACGCGATTACCAATCTTAATCGCAGGAGACCTATACTTGAAGCGCCTCTTCAAATCAAGAACGGCACCGAAATTCAAAAAGTCGACACATGTATTAGGAGGTTGAATTAATTCTGGTCTTATGTTGTCAACTTTTTTATCTTCATTTTAAAGAAATGGTTAAATTTACATCAATCAAAATATTTTCCGTCGTTAGCAGTATTAACTTTTTTGCCATCTTTCTGGCAACACGGCGATTCCACGATGATAGAACGATCCGTCTTTCGAAGTAATCCAATCAGACATCCATTTTTGCAGATCCTCGTAATTATTGAAGTGTATATCTGCCAAAGCGTATTGCATCGATCGGAATAGATGGTAATCAGATAGTGCTACGTCTGGAGAATACATTGGATGCAAAAGAATTCGAGCTCTAACAATGTTTATTTAACGATTAAAGCAATATGTGGACGAACATCTTATCGTGCAAAAGAATCACTTTGCGTCTATTGCTGGCTATCGTTGGCTTTTTTTGTATCAATTCATCATTCAATTTGTTCAATTGTTGCTGGTATCGCTCCCCCGTAACTGTTTCATTCGGTTTTGGAAGCTCATAGTACACCACATCTTCCATATCACCAAATACAGAGCATTGCTCTGTGATCGTGAATGTTCCGTTTTGATGTCGATGTTAATGGTTGTCTTGGATCAAACCATGATCTTTTTCGCTCTGGATTATCAAAATAAATCCACTTTTCATCTCCAGTTATAATTTGTCACAAAAAACTCTTTTTTTCTATCTGGCAAGCAAAGACACAGCGATATTCAAACCAATTTACAATGGTATTTTCACTCAATTCATGTGGGACCCATTTGCCTTCCTTTTGAATTTTTCCCATAGCATGTAAGAGTTTAGAAATTGTTAATTTATCGACGTTGAGTTATTCAGCCAATTGTTTTTCTGTTCGAGCGGTGTTTTCATTCAATAGTGCTTACAATTCAGAATTTTCGAATTTTTTTACTTGACCAGTACGTTCTTTGTCACACAAATTGAAATCACCACTTTTGAATCGTTGAAACCAAAAGGACCCTGCACATTTCCTTATGTAAATTGGATTTTGGTGGAATTGACTGAATATTTGATATGTTGTAGATTTTATCTCTCTGATAAAAAGTTCCCATAGGCACAACCCCCAATAATTGACCATTTGACTTCTACGAGGCGTCAAATGTTAAAAGTGTCTAATATCACAATTTCTTATTTTCAACGAGTAAGATGTATTCCTACTTTGATTTACATCTAAAAACTTTTTTCTGTATATATTTAGAAATAAAAATAAAAAGCTAAAAGATGACATTGACTCGAAGATGATGACTTGATTTCAGAGATTTCAGTGATACTTTCATTTTCAATGTGAAACACGTGTTTCAATGTATAATACATTGACAACTAAGTGTATCATTTGATTATGTTTTGCTTTCTGTTGAGAGCACAAAGCATAACTTTTTTAATTAAACTATTAGGTGTACAAATGAATAATTCAATTTTTTCAGCTACATTCAAGGTTTATTTTAAAAGAAAGTAAATTAAATTGTTCAATCAAAGTATTCGCCGTTGCTTTCTATAACTTTAAGCTGTCTTTCAGGCAGCTGATGAATTCTATCTCGGAAAAATGTTACGTCTTTGGACACGATAAAGTCGTCAAGCCATTTTCGGATCTCATCTACTGATTGGAAGTGCATATCGGACAAGGCGTGTTGCATCGACCGGAACAAGTGATAATTGGATGGAGCAATATCTGGTGAAACTGCCGGGTGCTGCAAGACGTCCCAGCCAAGACTCATTATGGTGTCTTTTATATTGGAAGCAATGTGTGGCCTGGCGTTGTCATGCAACAATTTCACTGGACATTCTCCTTTGCCAGTATATACGGGCGTTTTAGTTCCAATTCTTGACTCAAGCAGATTAATTGACGTTTGGTAGCAGTCCGCAGTAACTGTTCCACCCGGTTCCAACAACTCATGATAAAGCACGCCCTTGATATCCTACCAAATGCAGAGAAGAACCTTCTTTCCGAAGCAATTGGGTTTTGCGACCCAATTGCTTCGGAAAGACCCAATTTTGATGATTCGCCGGGATTTACCCATGACTTTCTGCGTTTCGGATTGTCATAGAGTATCCATTTCTCATCACCCGTAACGATTTTCCACAAGAAAGTTGCTTTCGACGCTGCTTATTGAGAAGAGAAAGACACGCTGCCACTCGTTGATTTTTGTTGGTTTCAGTGAGTTCATGCGGAACCAATTTTCCTTCTTTCTGGATCTTTCCTATCTCATGTAGGCGTTTGGAAATCATTTACTGCGTTACTCCCAACTGTTCTGCAAGCTCTTTTTATGTTTGTGCCGAATTCTCAGCGAGCAATTGTTCCAAATCATCATTATCGCACTTCGGAGGGCCTCCAGGGCGTTGTTTGTCGATTAGACTGAAATTATCGCTTTTAAACCGCTTAAATCAAAATGCGCATACATCGTACGATACAACACCTTCGCCGAGAAAGGAACAAATCGATTCGCACGCTTTTGCAGCATTTTTTCCTTGTTGGAATTCGTAAAGAATACAGTGTCGGATATGCACCTTATCTGTTGCCATTTTCGACTGTACTGAACTGAATACTTTTGAAGGTTATGTTGGACCTTTCGCCAAACTATATGTTCTTTTGAATAGCTATATGTCAACATTTGATCTGTTCTTTTCTTCTGCACCGCTGCACTGGTGCAATAAGTTAAAGTGAGACAAATATATGCTTGTCTCACTCGAACTTATTGCATTAGTGCAGCGGTGCAGAGGAAAAGAACAGACCTATTGCATAATCACAAAAGAGCGGGAAAATCTATTCAACTTAAAATTGATTTCATAACTGCTTAAAATAATTTGGATTATTCATTTGTACACCTAATATATTTTAAAGCGTAACAATTCAGAATATTTTTGGTTCATTTACAATTAAGACACAAGCGTGCATCATCCATCAAATTAACTTGCCTATCAGCTTCTTCGCACCTTCTTATAGCGATTTCTCGTTTTATCGCATTATCGTTATTATTTAATCGAGCTAACTGATTTGGACGAAAAGTTCGATCACAAACAAAACAAAGCATTTGATCTCTATTTGCCATTTTAGTCAATACTAAATATTTAATATAGAGGAAATGCAGGTATTGTGCAATAGTGGGGTAATGTGAATTTTTCTAGTCTGTCAAGTATCGCATCCGAACGAATAGCAGTGGAATTATTAGCTGCTGGACATTACATGTGATTAAAAAGTGAATTTTTAATGAATCAAAAATATTCTGAATTGTTGCGCTTTAAAATATAGTTTAATTAAAAAAGTTATGCTTTGTGCTCTCAACAGAAAGCGAAACATAATCTGTCAATATATTATACATTGGAACACGTGTTTCATATAGAAAATGAAAATATCATTGAAATCTCTGAAATCAAGTCTTCATCTTCAAGTCAATGTCACCTTTTAGCTTTTTATTTTTATTTCTAAATATACACAGAAAAAAGTTTTTAAATGTAAATCAAAGTAGGAATACATCTTACTCGTTGAAAATAAGAAATTGTGACATTAGACACTTTTAACATTTGACGCCTCGTAGAAGTCAAATGGTCAATTATTGGGGGTTATGCCTATGGGAACTTTTTATCAGAGAGATAAAATCTACAACATATCAAATATTCAGTCAATTCCACCGAAATCCAATTTACATAAGGAATTGTGCGGGGTCCTTTATAATTGGAATACGATGGAGTTTGATCACCATATATTCTAACAAGCATTTCATAAGCTTCAGTTGCAGATTTTTCAAATAAACAAAAAAAGTAATGAATGTTGAAACTTCAATTTTGTACGATTCATTTTAAATGCGTATAAACAATGAAATTATCAGTAACAATAGCGCGCAAACTGTCATATGTCATAGAGAAATGTCAAATCTTTCAGTGTTGCTAGATTTCAACATTCATACTAACTATTAACTTGCTACTAAAACCATCTATTGCTAAGGATTAGGACTAATTTAACTTCCTAATATTTCTATCTAATACTCGGCGCGATTACCGATCTTGATCGCGGGAGACTTATACTTGAAACGCTTCTATAAATCAAGAACGGCAACGAAATTCAAAAAGTCGACGCATGCAGTTTGTTATTATCGCTGCGCTCGTTGTGCAAAAATATTTGTTGAAAAATTATTTCCACTCTTCTCTTAACCGAGACACTGATTTATAAGCACTTCTATATCAAGAAATGTGACACTGGACTGAAAAAAGTATACATATATGCATGATGTTTATTTCTCTACTTCAACATAGTCTTGCACCAGAGTGCTTATGTCATCTCGGGCATCTTCGAAAACACTCTCCTCCATACCTTCAGCTAGATAATGATGGAAGAAGGCTCTCCTCTTGCACATCGAATTGTACTTACGTACGAGTCTCGACCAAATATGTTGAATAGCTGTATTGTTACTTAACGCTGTGACAGTTCGTTTTGACTTTGCTAAATCGCCGCCAGGAACTGTGACAGCCGGTTGGAAATTGATTCCTACCTAAAAAAAGAAGAAAAAGAAAACGAAAATTTTTTTCCTCTAATCCACCAGCATGATGACACGGCGCTTAAAATTATTGTAAATTAACATATTGACTGCTACAGTGTTTGATCGATATTACAATATTGCAGCGTCTAATTAATTTACATATATAAAACATAACCTGCTGCGAATAACAAATTAAATATACAGCCAATAAAGAGTCGATAAAACGAAGGAGAAAGTTACCTGTATTCGACTATTTTTCAATATTTTTTCATAATTTGCAAATACTTAATGATAAAAATAGGATAAAAACAATTAGAAGTTATTCTCGATTTATTTATGACATTGTATAATTTTTTTGAAATTTTTTATACCTTTTGTAGATACGTCTTTTTTAAAACGTCTGCTAGTAGTGCAATGTTGACAAAGTTGTTTAAATTGTACCAAGGAATTTCTCAAATAATATGTTTCCTTTATCGTATCGATGTAATTAATTTAGAAACCATGAGGGCGCAAAAATAAAATACAAATAATTTAGATAAATACGTATTTAATTGAAATCACAATTTGAATAAAAAATTAAACAAAATACTTTTTAACCTAAAGAATAAATAATAAAACTAAATAATAAAATTACCAAAAAAATATTTTATTTTTAGAAACTAATTAAGAAATTAATCAAAAATATAGTTTATATGTCCTCTTCAAAAAAGTGCGTGTTATCGAGAATGGATTTCTTATCAAAGTGTTGAAGCCCCTTTTCCGCGATGTTGATTGGCCGTCTCGACTACCTCGATCGTCTCGATCGGTCACGGCTGTATTCGTGTAACTCGCAGCTGTCATCGCGGCGAATGACAGTTGAATGACAGTTTGTACGAAAAGAGTTATAATGGGGTTATATCAGGTTAACAATTTTATAACATAAAATAATAAGCTATATTTTTTTTCTCCTTTTTCGGGTAATGGTAATAAATATAACGAAAGAGAGAGAGAGAGAGAGAGAGGGGGGGAGAGCGAGCGAGCGAGCGAGCGAGCGAGAGAGAGAGAGAGAGAGAGAGAGAGAGAGAGAGAGAGAGAGAGAGAGAGAGAGAGAGAGAGAGAGAGAGAGAGTGAGGGAGAGGGAGAGGAGGACGGAGAGGGAGGGGGAGGGAGAGGGAGAGGGGGGAGAGGGAGAGAGAGAGAGAGAAGGAGAGGGAGAGGGAGAGAGAGAGAGGAGTGTAAGAGAGAGATTGTGCGAGTGTGACAGAGAGAGTGAGAGAGTGTTTAAGAGAGTGAGAGAGTGTTTAAGAGAATGAGAGAGGGAGAAGAGAGAGTGCGAGGGAGGAAGAGTGTGAGAGAGGAGAGTGTGAAAGAAATAGAGTGTGAGAGAGGGAGAGAGTGAGAGAGTTTGAGAAAGAGAGAGAGTACGAGAGACAAATTTTGTGAGAGATAGTGTGTGAGAGAAAGAATGTGGGAGAGTGTGAGAGATAAAGAGTGCGACAAAGAGAGAGTGTGAGAGAGGGAGAGTGTGAGTGAAAGAGAGTATATAAAAGAGAGGAGAATGTGAGAGGAGAGTGTGAGGGAGAGGGTGAGACAGAGTATGAGAGAGTGAAAGTGTGAGAGAGGGTGTGTGAGAGAAAGAATGTGTGAGAGTGGGAGTGAGAGAAAGACAAAGAGAAAAGGACATAAAGAGAGAGGGAGTGGGAGGGGGAGAGAGAGGAAATTATGAGGAAGAAGTATGTGAGAGAGAGGGGAGTGTGAGAGAGAGTGTGAGAGGGAAAGAGATAGAGAGGTGGGAGGATTGAGTGTGAGAGAGAGAGTGAAAGAGAGAATGTGAGAGAGAGATTATATGAGAGAAAGTGTGTGAGAGAGAGAGAGAGAGAGAGAGAGAGAGATAAAGAGTGAGAGAGGGGATGCGAAAGAGAGAGAGAATCTGAGAGAGAGAGAGAGGGGGGAGAGAGAGAGTGTGTGTGTGAGTGAGGGAGAGTGTAAGGGAGAGGAGAGTGTGAGAGAGGAGAGTGTGAGGGAGGGAATGAGAGAGAGTGTGTGAAGGTATGAAAGAGGGAGTGTGAGAAAGGGAGTGTGTGAGTGGGAGAATGAGAGAAAAAGAAAGGCAGAGAGAGAGAGAGAGAGAGAGAGAGAGAGAGAGAGAGAGAGAGAGAGAGAGAGAGAGAGAGGAAAGGGAGGCAGCAGAGAGGGGGAGAGAGAGAAAAAGGGGAGAGTGTGAGAATGTGTGAAAGGGAGAGGGGGAGAAAGAAAGAGAAAAGGTGTGAGAGAGAGCATGTGGCAGAGAGAGAGCGTATGAGAGGGAGAGACAGCGTGCGAGAAGGAGAGTATGTGAATGTGTGAGAGAGAGTGTGTGAGTGTGTGAAAGGGAGAGAGTGTGAAGGAGTGATTGAGAGAGAAAGAGAGAGTGTGTGAGAGAGCGAGTATGAGAAAGAGATCGTGTGAGAGAGAGAGAAAGTGTGAGGGAGAGAGGAGTGTGTAAAAGAAAGGAGAGTGTGAGGGAAGGAGTGAGAGAGAGTGTGTACGAGAGAGAGAGAGAGAGAGGAGAGAGAGAGAGAGAGAGAGGAGAGAGAGAGAGAGAGAGAGAGAGAGAGAGAGAGAGAGAGAGAGAGAGAGAGAGAGAGAGAGAGAGAGAGAGAGAGTGTGTGTGTGTGTGTGAGAGTATGAGAGAGGGAGTGAGAGAGAGAGTGTGAGAGAGAGAGAGTGTGTGAGAGAGTGTGAAAGAAACAGAAAAACAGAGTGAGAGGGGGAGAGAGAGAGAGGAGGGTGTGAGAGAGAGAGAGTGTGAGGAAGATGGGGAGAGAGAGAGGGGGGGAGAGAGAGAGAGAGAGTGAGAGAAGGAGAGAGAACTTAAGATGGTCTTGAATAGAAATTCTAAACGTCGGAATTTTCATTGGTTATACGGTTATGCGTTACTATGCAGAAAATATATGTCATGGAATTTCAAAATATATGCACCTGATACATCGTATGTTGGAGTCGGATAATATCGAACTTATATTATATTCCAGGTTTTATTTTTTATTTATAATATTTATTCTAAGCTTTAATATAAATATGCTAAAATGGCGCGCGCGTAGCACGCGCTTGTAGTGTTCTAGTAAAACTAAAAAGAATATTTTTAATAAAAAATAAGTATTAAAATTACTTATTAAAATAATTATTACAATAATATTCATTTTAATATAAAGTTTATTTTATATGAAAATTGACTTTTTCTATTCATAAAATCATTCTTTGACCACATAGCTAAAAATTGCAAAATTTATCTATTACATCCTCAAAATCAAAATTACAAAAATAAAATATTTTTGTTTTTAAAAACTTAATTAAGAAATAAACAACCATTGAACAAGAATTTGTTATTTAATTAAAACAAAATATATATATATAAGTAACACAAAAGAAAAAAATAAACTACTTTCTACGGATTTTAAAAATAGTAGTCACAGATGTAGTTTTCCTTGAAAATTTCTAAATTGTACCGGTACAATGTAAGCAATCAGTAGGTGGTATGATTTAAGACGTTGTGTTTTTCAAATTATGGCAGTAAAGTATATACAGAGTAAGATTATGTCCAAACTGTGCCATGCAAATATGTTAATTTTAATGTAGCATAAAAATGACAAACAGCTTTAATACGCCTTTTGAAACTTTCTAAATGCTTTATGCAAAAGCGGGTAAAATTCTTAAAACCAAAAATATTTTGTTTTCGTATTTTAAACTAGGCGTTTTCGTGCAAAAGCACTTACTTCCCTCTATTAACTTTATGGCGATAGATGAACCTTTAATGAACTATAAAGGCCATCACACATAGAAAAATTTTAACCGTAACCGTAAGGTTGTAAGAAAACTGACCAATCACAGTCGATTATTATAATGTCACAAGAGAAAGGATCGACTGTGATTGGTCAGTTTTCTTACAACCTTACGGTTACGGTTAAAATTTTTCTACGTGTGATGGCCTTAATATGCAGATAGTGATAAGCTTTCGAATTCTATGAAATATAAGGATGGTAAACTTTGGAAACCGATATAACATCGGCGACTTTCCTTTATACAGGATGTCCGGGATCTTTTGGAAACGAAAAAATTGTGCAGGTTAATCAGGTCAAACTGAGAAAAAAAGTCGTGTACCGTTTTGCAAAATTCATAGCAATTATTAAGTTATTAATGTTTGAAAATTACCACATTTAAAGGATTTTTTAATTGATAGCTTAAAAATTTGCATACTTATTTGCAAAATGGTAAAGGACATTTTTATTCAGAATGATCTAATCTATAATTATTGACGGCTATTGATAGATATGAGTATATTGAACTTTGAATCCTGAATCTTGAACCTGTCGCTAGGTACGATAGGCGTCATGTAATTGTAGATTAGGTCATTTTAAAGAAAAAGGTCCTTTACCATCTTGCAAATAATTAAAAGAGCTTCTAGACGCAGTCCATTCATTAATAACTACTGCGATTTTTGCAAAATGGTACTTGACTTTCCTTCTCAGTTTAATCTAATCTTCACAATTTTTCGTTTTCAAAAGATCCCGGACACTCTGTATGTAGCGATTTATTTACAGCATCTCTCTGGTCATTCCAGTGAAAGAATCAACGAAAGTCAATCAACGTGGCAGTCAACATATAAAATCTCAATACATTTCCTTGAGTTTCTTCTATATAGGTCTATACAAGATATCGTTGAAATCGGCAAATGTGTAATTGCCTTGCGCCTTGCCAAATTGTGGTCCACATACGTTTTATCCGCAATATATATACCTTGAAAGAAGTCGGGCTCCAATCGACAAACCGTATAGATCGCATGCCCTTTAAAGACCTGATCGCGTTGCTAACATCATTAGGATTCACGTCTCCACGATAAAGCAGACAACAGCTCATATATGCTCCGATGCGGGGATCGCATTTTACCATCTACACCGGTAAAGCAATTCCGTACGTATAAATAAATGTTCTATTATAAGAACAGGTAAAAGAATAAGGGCTAAATGGAAAACTCGGTTGCAGGAACAGAACAATTTTTGAAGAAGGTTTCTAATTAATAATAATTATCCTCAGTTAGTTCAACCGAGTTTTGAAGTAATCGAATGCTCAGGTGAATGTCTTGTCCGATCACGGTAACAAGATATCGTTTCTGAGTCACGTTCTCGTCTAATCCTTATTAATTAGATGAACCGAAGCTCATTTCCCGTCTATGTGTTTAACAATCGAGTATTAGCACTTTTATACATTTTTTTTCTCTCATTTAAATCCGCAGAAGCGTCTAGAGATCGAATCGCGAATTGAGTCGATAGCAACATCGAGTCGAGTTACTTGATTAGCAGGCTCGAAACATTCGAACGTAATTTGCTGGACCGACATGTTCGTGTGCATCGCTTTCCTGTGAGTGATCATTGGCGCATAGGCCATTAACAGGAAATGTATTCTCGGGTATGGCACGAGATTTGTTTGCAATTCTTCCAAGCTGGTGTTCACGTCACCCCTGAATCTCATTGACGTGGTGATGTTAGATACGACTTGGGCCTGCAGGCGGTTGAGATTCGTATACGTTGGATCTTCGAAGCTTCACCAGTGCGCGCAGGGGTTGCACTACTCGCGCGCGTACGCTCGTGCTCCTGAATTCGGAGGAGACGAACTTGCCGAGATGACACGCGCGTTCGTCCCGACTTCCGAGACGTCCTGACGTGTGTCGTCCGTGACATCCCGAGTCTGAAGTCAGCGAGTTCCGAGGATTCTCGGGTCTGACCGACTGACCTGGACCTGGAGCCGAAGTTCTCGCGCAGCGAAGACTTCGCGAGCTGGGTCGGAAATTAACGTAATTATTAAGGACAGGGATTTTTTAATCGAAGGATCAGTCCGTTTTTGTTTCTTGCGGAAATAATAATAAAAATAATAGTAATAATAAATGCGAAATTATATCGAGGGTGATTTTATTTAATAAAGAAGAAGCGTCGCGCGAAGCGATGGAAAGCTCCATTCGTAGGTAAGTGTCTTCAAGACGTTTATGAAACATTTAGACGGCATGTGCCGTTGAGTACCTAACTCATGCGAAATGCAGCCATTCCAAATAAAAATCAACAAAGTTGACGAGCGAGCGATTATTTATTAAATGACCGACGCGCACGATATTGCGTCTTTTGACGAGGTCGCCGCTACGCGACCTACGCACCGGATACGTACTC